TGGTCCCCCTTCTGTTTCTAAGTCCCAGCCAGGACCTTCTGCGCGGGGGGGGGGGGATTACACCTCTCCCCCTTACATAATGCTCTGGGGATCGGCTGGAAGGGCCACCCACGTCCCTCCCCTGCCTTTTGTTCCAGTTAGAGTTGCCAACCTCCCGGTGGGGGCCTGAAGACCTCCCGAAATCACAACTGATCTCTGGATCAGTGCCCCTGCAGAAAATGGAAGCTTTGGAAGGTGGACCCGAGCCAGGTTGGAGAGCCAGGTTGGTGAAGTAGTTAAGAAGCCGGGGTTTGATTCCCCGCTCCTCCAACATGCAGCTGCTGGTATGACCTTGGGTCAGTCACAAGTTCTCTCAGAGCTGTTCTCTCAGGAGCCGTCCTAGAAAGAGCTCTCTCAGCCCCACCTACCTCACAGGGTGTCTGTTGTGGGGAGGGGGAGGGAAAGGGATTGTAAACTGCTCTGAGACTCCTCCGGGTAGTGAAGGGCAGTGTATACATCCAATCTCCTCTTCTTCTCTATGGCATTATACAGCATCGAGGTCCCTTCCCTAGGGATGCCAACCTCCAGGTGGGGCCTGGAGATCCCCTGGAATTACAGCTCATCTCCAGACTGCAGAGATCAGTTCCCCTGGCGGAAATGGATGCTTTGGAGAGTGGGTTCTATGGCACTGTACTCTACAGAGGTCCCTGGCCTCCCCAGGCTCCACCCCCAAATCTCCAGGAGTGTCCCAACCTGGATTTGGCAACCCTACACCACCCTATCCCCCACTGGTGGCCGGGGTGGACCTGGCAAATCTGTTCCCCTAGGTTCTACACCCACATCTCCAGGAATTTCCCCACTTGGAGTTGGCAACCCTAATCTCCCAGTTGAACCTGGAATAGCTGCTTTGCATCCCCAGGAAGTACCCCTATGAATGAGGATTAAAAGAACTCCCTCTGTACCTAGCAACTTACTTCTGAAGGTGGGGAGGGGCTGGCTGGAGCCACCTGTCCTCTCGCCCACATTGCAGGGGTGGCCAAACTCGCTGAATGTAAGAGCCACATAGAAACAAAGGTCAGGTGTTTGAGAGCCACAAGTCGTAAACTAATATTACACACACAGTTTTTTATTGGGAGATATGCAAATTTGCTTTTTATTGACACGAAACGAGACTGCCGAAAATAAAAACAAAACGGGTAAAACAGGCATTGATGATTATATTTATTTGTCCAATGATATTTATTTGTCTTAAGAGAGAGAGGTAGAAAGAAAGAATGAAAGAGGTAAAGAGAGAGAGAGGAACAGAAACAAAAAGCCCATGCGGAAATAAATAAATAAATAAAATTAAAAAAGCAAATAGATGGGGGGGAGGAAGAGAGAGAGAAAAAGACGAAAAGAAATAATTTAAAGTTTCTTTCTCTGCCCCCCCCCCCATGTCAAGTATACCCAGGGAGGGGAACGCTGGTTGGGAAAGGGAAGACTGATCAGGGAGGTATGCTTCCCCTTCGCTTCCCCAGCCATCCTGCCGGGAGCCACACAATATGTGTGAAGAAGAAGAAGAAGAGAAGAGATTGGATTCATACCCCGCCCTTCACTGCCCAAGGGAATCTCAGAGCGGCTTACAATCTCCTTTCCCTTCCCCTCCCCACAAAAGACACCCTGTGAGGAAAGTGGGGCTGACAGAGCTCTTGACAGAAACGGCTCTTTTTCAAGGACAGCTCTTATCAGAACTACGGCTTGCCCAAGGTCATCCAGCCAGGTGCAAGTGGAGGAGTGGGGAATCAAACCCAGTTCTCCCAGATTAGAGTCCGCACGCTTAACTAATACACCAAACTGGCTCTCTCCCGAGCCACAGTTTGGCCACCCCTGTCATATTGGTTCAAATAGGAGGGGTGGGAAACAGGAAAAAGAGGAGAAAAGAAGCATGAAAAAAAGGACAGATTTTGGGAGACGAAGAGAGGGAAGGAAGGAAACTTTTCACACTTTCCAAGGAATCAAAGTGTGGGTAACTGCAGCACCTGGCGGCCCAGGGTCAGCAAAGATTTTTTCCAAAGGACCAAACAAGGCACTGGTGAATTAATGGGCCCACTTCTCCTCTTAGGCCCCAACTGACTACCAAGGGGTATGTGTAGGCTAGGATTACCAGCCCTCAGGTGCATCCTTGACCATCTCTGGGAATGACAACTCATCTCCGGTGTTCCCTCTAAGCTGAGTGAGTGTGAGCTAGCTCACAGTTTTTGAGCCTCCGGCTCACACTTTTTTGTCTTAGCTCGGGAAAGACGGCTCGAAGGCAGACTCATTTATGCAGTAGCCAAATCGACCGCTCACAACTTTTAGTGCCAGTAGCTCACAAAGTAGAATTTCTGCTCACAAGACTCCACAGCTTAGAGGGAGCATTGCATCATCTCCAGATGAAAGAGAGCGGTTCCCCTGGAGGAAATGGCTGCTTTGGAGGGTGGCCTCTATGGCACTGGACCATGCTGAGACCCCACACCCTAGGTTCTGATACACAAATCTGTGCCTGCATGCTCCCATGCCGAATTGGAAACACACAATCGGAGTCCGACGAGTTAGATGAATATCTGTTTAATGCATTGAAACAGGGGATACAGGGCTGAGTGCCTTTCCAAAGCTGTATTCTGCCGTAACGGAAGGGCAGAAGGTCTTATATTTCAGATGACACACCCTAATCTCCAGGCATTTCCCAACCTGGAGCCAGCAACCCTAGAACTGGGCCAATAGGCAAGTCAATGGGGGGTGGGGGGTGGGACAGGCAACAGATCAGTGCTGAGAGATGCTGAGCGTGCACCCCCAGACGCACAGGGGCAGATTAAGGCTCACTGGTGCCCTAAGCACTGACCAATCTTGGTGCCCCCCCCCTCCTTTCCACACTGACCCCCAGTCCATTTCAGTTGTTGACCTGTCTGACCAGATATACAGTGCAGGTTGCAGCAATACAAAAATGTATTCATAGGATAACACACAACAGACTGTACAAACTAAGCCAAGCTTGGGCTACATAAAGTTCACACTTTTCCCAACTTTGTGGTGCCCCCTTTCACCCTGGTGCCCTAAGCACATGCTTAGTCTGCTTCATGGCTAATCCGCCCCTGCAGACGCCCCTTGCTTTTCTGTGCTCACGTGACCCCCTTTTGCTTTCCATTCCTCTTCCAGTGGGGTCCACCCCCGACGACGCCACCGGGATGCCTCGCGGACTGGCCTTGTTCTTGGTGGCGGCAGCGACGTGGGCCGTGGCCTCCCCTGCTGACGGATGCAACAAGGCTCTCTGTGCCAGTGACGTCAGTAAGTGCCTGTTGCAGGTGAGATCTTAGGGAGGATGTGCCCTTCGGGGCTTAGACCTTCAAACCAGGATGACGTTGCCCCTTCTTGTGGCTGCCCGGAGCTCTCTTCTGTTCTGAGTTCAAATGGGAGGCCCGCCTCACTAACTGGTACCCCAAAGGACTGGTTTTTAGAGCCCGGGATATTTTTTTGGGTCCCCTCTCCAGGGTGGCTTCCACACGGGGACAGGCTTGTGTGGGTTCCCTGTTGCTGCTGCAAGTGTCGATACAGTGCATTGTCAATGGGCTCTGCAGTTCCCTGTCCCAGTCCTCCAGCAGCCGCCATCTCTTGTTCTCTGGGCTGCCAGGGTTTCTTTCAGTTATTTTTCTAAATTATCAACTGAGTATTGTTATATCAACATAATGTTATGACAATCTGTGTATCAGATTCACCAGATCCCCAGGTTACGTTTTTAACAATATAAGTCTCTAGCCCCTTTTGTTGCAGATGTATGCCTTTCCCTTTATATCTCCTCAAAGAAAGGGGCTGGACCAGAGGTATCAGACTTCTTTGTTACGAGGGCCAGATCTGACATAAAAGCTATTTTGTTGGGAAGGGCCATGTCCAGTGTTCCCTCTAAGCTGAGTTAGTGTGAGCTAGCTCACAATTTTTTAGCCTCCAGCTCACACATTTTTGTTTTTGCTCAGGAAGGATGGCTCCAGAGCCAACTGATAGCTCGCTCACAACTTTAATGCCAGTCGCTCACAAAGTAAAATTTTTGCTCACAAGACTCCACAGCTTAGAGAGAACATTGTCCACCATAAAATGTAACACCAGGTACTGGAGATATAAAGTTTATAAATGACACGGGCAAACCCAGTTAATGATAATATTTTATCGTTATCGAAATAGAAACGGAAGCAATTGATTCCTAGGAGTGAAAGCAATTGATTTAGTGGGGAATCCACAAAAGCCCCAGTAAATGTATTTTATATGCAAGACTAGGTTTCCCTCCCAAGGGATACCATACCTGCCCCCTAGCCATTTCCTTTCATTTCTTGACAGATTCGACCACACAGACCTCACCATGTGTGCCCACGTGCCCACTCCCCTCCCCCCACCGAGCAGCCTCCTGACTTTCCTCTCTCACACCAGTTGCTCGCAGGCCAGATAAAAGCTCTGGACGAGCCAGTTCCGGCCCCTGGGCCGCATGTTTTACACCCATGGGCTAGACTTACTTAAAAAAAAGAAAAGAAAACTAGGAGTTCAGAAAATCTGTTGCACACGTTCTTATAACATGATATGACTATAATGATATTCAGTTGCCACTTTTTAGGAAAAGTCTCCTGGTCTCCCTAGGGGAAGGAAGTGGCTGCTATGGGGCTGGGGAAATCCCAGCTTTCCCACCCCCCACTGCAGTCCTCTAGGCTTTGCTGCAATCTTTCCCAAAACATCAACGCAAAGCAGGTTTGAGAAACGTTGGAGAAAAGCGGTGGAAACCCGGAGAGGTGTATGAATGCACCACAGGGGTAGCGTGGGGGGTGGGTGTCCGCTTCCCAACAGGATTAAACAAAGGGCTAACAGCCCATGTGGAAATGGCCCATGTATCTCTGTGAGCCATTACTCTGGGCATGCAACCTGACTGCGCGCATAGATATGCCCGTAGCAGTAACTCAAGAAAAAAATGCATGTGCCCAAATTAGGGTTGCCAAGTCGATCTTCGCTGGGAGTGGGGGGCTCCCGGTTGGTGTCTGGTGCGCGCGCGCTGCATGCACATCACCTGAAAGTGACCTGACGACGCCAGCCACGCTGGGGCGGGGCCACGGCCATACAAGGGAAAACCATAGAGTTTTCCCTCGGATGGCCGTGGCCCCTCCCCCAGCGTTCCCGGCGTGGTTGCGTCACTTCCAGGTGACGCGCACGTCAGGGAGGAGTCCCCCCCGGGGCCCGATCCAGCGCCGCCGGGGAATGGGCCTCTGGGGCGGGGTTTTCCCCGCCCCCCGGGGGAACTTGGGAAGCCTAGCCCAAATTCAACCACCAAAAAATCAATGACTTATAGATTTTATAGCTATAACATATACATTGCTCAGAACAAATTTTCCTATGACACAATTAAATAGACAGGTAGAAATTCACAGGGAAAGTTTTCCCCCCATAAACATCTTTGTAATAATCAAATTCAAAAAAGTCCTTGAACTGTAGGATGTGATTGTGTCTCTGCCATTCATGAAAATGGTACAGTGGAGACATGCTTCAGACTTTTGAAGGGAGGTTCCAAGAAATGATTGATTTTCCATTGGGAATCACTGAGGATTGCTGTAACGGAATATACTCTGTGGATGTTTACACGGATCTATAAAATGTTGCATCCAGCATGATTCTTGAAAAAGTTATTGAAACGGATTTATAACCGGGGGTCCGTCAAGTCGGCTGGCAGAGACACGATCACATCCTACAGTTCAAGGACTTTTTTTGAATGTAATTATTACAAAGATGTTTATGGAAAAAAACTTTACCTGTGAATTTCTGTCTATTTAATTGTGTCATAGGAAAACTTGTTCTGAGTAATGTGTATGTTATAGCCGCCCTGAGCCCTTTGTGGGGAGGGTGGGGTATAAATTTAATAATAAATAAATCATTGGGGTTTGGGTGGTTGAATTTGGGGACGTGCATTTCCCCCCTTGTTTACACATATTGCTGTGCCGCTGCTTTTTCTCTTGTAGCAGTGACTCATGCAGGGATGCACGGGGCAGGCTCCTTTGAAGGATAATCCCAATTGCCTCTCTGTGCTGAGAGCAACTGAATGATCCCATCACACCCCAGGCAGAATGAACTATCCCCCAGGGGAGCCTAAGTGAGAGGAGGTTCAGAGGGTGGCCATGTTGGTTTTTAGTAGAACTGTTCGATTTGAGTCCATTCGCACCTTAAGAGACCAGCAAGAGTTTCAGGGTGGAAGCGTTCAGGAATCAAAGCTTCCTTGGTCAGACAGAAAGGGAAGTCTAAAGAAGGGAACGTTGACTCTCAGAAGCTTACACCCCAAAACGCTTGTCGGGTCTCAAAGGTGCTCCTGGACTCAGATCTAAAAGTGAGAGCAGTGACACATGCCCAGAAACCGGCTGGCATCTGCACCTGGTGAAGTGGTCACTTTGGGCCCACCAGAGTATTTGATTATTTAGTGAACGCAGGGCTTTTTTTTAATAGAAAAAGCCCAGCAGGAACTCATTAGCATAATAGGCCACACCTAACATCAGAAACTCATTAGCATGTTAGGCCACACCCCTGCTTCTTCTGCCTGCTTAGTACACGGAAACCAAGCCTCAAAATGAGGGGAAAGGGGACTGCATGCGGCAAACGTTCCACAGCTAAACGGGACCCCAAGCTCAGTCCTTTCTCAAATCAGAGGTCTCCGTCAGCCACTGTTGAGAAGCAAGGCATTGCAGTGACCAGTTAGTGGGGAAGCACAGCAGAGTCATCTAGTGGCAGAATTCGGAAATGCAAGAGAAGCTCAAATACTGCAACAGCAGGGCTTTTGGCGAGGGAGGGGAGGGACAGGCTCGGAAGCCAGCCGGAACTCCGTTCCTGTGTGTTCCTGCCTAAAAATAGCCCTGAGTGAACGTATTTTTCTCTGCGCACTCCCCTGAAACACAGTATTGAAATAGGTGGGCCAGATCAGCCCCCCTTTCAGAAGGCAGGAACCAGGACTTGCAAACTGAAGAGCCTACAGATTTAGCAAGGTTCCCCTTGAGACTCAAGATGCAGATGGTAGAAGCCAGAGGAGGGTTTGTTTCTTTGGGACAACCTGGGACCTTTTCCAAGGTGAAAACCCCGGCAGGTATAGCTGCTCTAAAGGGAGAACCAGTGAAACGCAGTGGTATGAGTGTTGCTCTTGGACCTAGCAGGATCCGGGTTTAAACCCAGCCCCCCTACTATCAAGCATGCTGGGTGACCCTGGGCCACTCATGGTGTCTCAGCCTGGCGAACCTCACCGGGTTGTTTCTGAGACTTAAAACCACATTTGGTGCCCTGTGCTCCTTGGGGAAAGGGTGGGATTAAAACACACTCGATAAAGAGTTAAAAGTTGTGACATCCCGCTTGGCATCTCTTGGCAGGAAGTGTGCCAGTGCGAGGCGAACCACGCTGGCTGCCCGTGCTGTCAGGAGTGTGCCTTTTGCCTGGGGAACTTGTGGGAATCCTGCTGCGAATGTGTGGGTGAGTGAACTCTGCAGCGGGGGGGGGGATCAGAAGCCCAGTCATTCATCACTAGAATGCTATGATTTATGGGGGCGGCAGGGGGGGGGAGAGCATGTCTTTTTCTCCTATATTATTTGATGATCGAAATGGGTTATGGACTTCCAAACGACGAAGGTGGCTGAAATATTTTGCCTGTCCTCGCAGAACACTAGCCAATCGGTCCTGAGCCCCTTTCTGAGGAGAAGCCTCATCTAGTCGCCGGAGCAGTGGCCACCTTCCTGTTACAGCAGACACAGAAGTGTCTGGTAGCACCTTAAGAGACAAACAGATTTTGTGTGGCAGGAACTTTTATGAACCAGAGATCTGCACTTCATATGATGCATGAAGTGTATCCTTGTATCACAAACAGGGGTCATTTAGTAGAAAAAGAGGTGCAGGAGCTCATTAGCATAACTTATTTGCATATGCCACACCCCCTGACATAACCGGAAGTGTGTCAGAAGGCAACACTCACCACTCAGGCTCCACTGGACTGTTTTGGATTGCTAGCTACTGGGGGGGGGGACGTGCAGATCTGTCCTCGCAGAGGAGGGAGAGCTTGTACCTGAATAAAACTTGGTCTTAAAGGTGCCACTGGACTGTTTTGGCTAGCTATGGGGAGGGGGAATGCACAGATCTGCCTTCACAGAGGAGGGAGAGCTTGTACCTGAAGGCGGGATGGGGGGGGCCTCTGCAACTTACCTGGCTGCTTCTTGCTCCTTGTGGCCCGACTGAGGGCTGCTGAGAGCAGGGGCGGGGCTTGTTGCATGTGCCCGCCCCCTGGGCTCCTTACTGCCGGAGCTCTGCTCCTGTGTGCTCCCGCAGGAACTGACCCCTGATCACAAATATGTATATACACACACAAGAAGGAATATATATAGGTATATTCACACACACAAGAAGGAACCTGTGAGATTCTCGGGTTGGGGGGATTTGGCTCATTCCCCCTTCCCCTCCTGGCCTCTGTGCCTGCCTGGCTGTCCCCCCCCCAGGAAGGCTCCGGCTGCACATCTGCCTGCCCCCCACCACTCTTTTTCTCCACTCAGCTGTTTGGCTCACATTGTGGTGAGGGCGGCAGCTACTGTGGCAGTGGCTCAGTGGCAGAGGGGGAATGTTGCGGTCTGCAGCGAAGGCTCCCTTCTCCTTGCCCATCTCCTTGAGGTGAAGGGAGGTGGTTTGGTGGTAGGCGGAGGATGAGAGGCTGCAGCCGTCTGCCTCCGGCACCTCTGCCTCACGTGGAGGCAGTTTGGCGGCAGGTGGGGAGACTGGCAGTGGAGGCGCCTACATAAGAACAGAAGAGGAGCCAATGTTGGATCAGGCCAATGGCCCATCCAGGCCGACATTCTGTGTCACTCAGTGGCCAAAAATACCAGGGGCCATCAGGAGGTCCAGCAGTGGGGCCCAGGACACTAGAAGCCCTCCCCCTGTTGCCCCCCCAAGCACCAAGAATACAGTGCATCCCTTGCCCCAGACCGAGAGTTCCTATCTATACCTTGTGGCTAATAGCCCCTGATGGACCTCTGGCCTCTGTGCCTGGCTGTTCTGTCCCTCCCCTGGTTCTCTTCCTCGCCCACCTATGGTGTCGGTTCAGAGGCAGTTGTCGGCACACTGAGTTGTAATTCTTTTGGGGTGGGGGGTGTCTTTTCAAGGCTTGGGGTTGTTCTGCAAACCTGGGCATCCCCCCCAACTTTGGAGGAAAATCTCCCTTCTCTCACTGTGGCCCCAATCTGTAGATTTAAGTATCCACAGATAGGGCCGTGTTGACTATTAGATATCACGCTGGTATAAATACGCATTGAGGGGGGGGAATGGCTCTCAAAGCTATGAAGTGAAAGAGTTTGTGACCTTTCCGTGCAAGAGCACAGTGTCTGTTCAGAGGAGCAGAGACAGATGCGGAGCAGCACACAATCCTCCCAGGAATGCTTCACCGGCACCAAACCTGTGGCGTGGATCTACCGTCTTTATGGTGGCCCGATATGTCCATTCAGCTACAGTCTCCCCTTGAAAGTACTTTCGCTATAGAATGACGACTTTCCGTGCCTGCTGCTGACCTGAAAGCCACCATTCTACACAGAAAAGAAAGAAAAAAGGCACAGAGGGAAACTCCGGCACGAACGTGGTGGCTGTAACCCATCAGCGAGCTGGATGGTATTCCACTGGTGGTGGCGGAAAGTCCAGTCAAGTTGCAGCCGACTTATGACGACCCCATCAGGTTTTCGAGGCAAGAGGCAAAGAGAGGTGGGTTTGCCACTGCCTGCCTCGGCGTAGCAATCCTGGACTTCCTCACCGGTCTCCAAGTACTAATCTGGGCTGACCTTGCTTAGCTTTTGAGTTCTTCTATCTCAAGTTTTTTGTTAGTTGGTGGGAGATAGGAATTGATAATCAAAAGACTGCCCCCAGTCCAAGTCATAATGACAGCCATTGCTCACTGATCCAAGGGGAGATAAGAATGCCCGGGGGCCCTTTTAGTCTTCCTGGGCCCCAACCTGGGATGGCCTTACCCGCATATGAATAGTAGCCATCTAATTCAAGAGGAGCTGCAGACCAAGTTTCCTGGAGTATAAAACCTCATGGTTTTGCCGGAAAAAAGGCGTATCTGAGGGCAAAGCAAAGCATCTAATCCAGCCTGCTACGTTCCAAGCTAAGATGTTCATCGCTTTGGGTGTATCTCACGTCTTTAATTGTCAGTCTTCCATCATAATTGTTTCTAAGTCACCCATTGGGTCCCGGATTATACATCCATTTTTAAGTGTATGAGCAGGAACAGATTGCTCACTCCTGGGGGAACGTTGGTGCTTAATGTTCCTTTGTACAATTATTAACCGTTGGGTCCTCTTCCCTCTTGTTGCTCATTGAAGTTGTTATCAGTACCTGGTGAGGGATTGTCCGAGCTTTACAGATCATTTGCTCATTCCTTCCTGGAAGGTCAGCTGTTATTTGACATTGGTCCCCCTTCTCTATGCTTGATGTATTAGATTGCAGATGATCCAGGTTCAGGGCAATTTCCATCTGGCCCTCTGGGCGGGGGCTCATAGGGGAGTGGTTTAAGGGGACATAGTGGATCATTCCGGGCAGATTTCTCTTCCTCTGTTTTTTTCTTTTTTTAACTATTTGTATTTGTAGGGCAGATTTCTCTTCCTCTTTTTTCTTTTTTTAACTATTTGTATTTGTATCTAGCAGTTCGAAAGCAAGAAATTGCAAGTAGATAAATAGGTACCACTTCGGTGGGAAGGTAAAAGCGTTCCGTGCGCCTTGGTGGTTAGTCATGCCGGCCACATGACCACGGAAACGTCTTCGGACAGCGCTGGCTCTTCGGCTTGGAAACGGAGATGAGCACCGCAACCCTAGAGTCGGACTCGACTGGCTTTCGAGCAAGGGAACCTTTACCTTTATTAAAGTTTTCAAATGTTTTACAGAGCAATACAAACATTGTCAACTTGGCGTGCTACATGAAGAATAGCATTCTAAAAAAACCCCCAGTTTAATAATACATTTTAACGTGCCCTTATACTATTGAGTAGTGCTAAATACATAGATTTTTTTTTTCGGGAGGCAATTTAAAGAAAAGGACTGAGCTGACTAAGTACTGATCTTTGACTATGAAAGGAATGGTCACTGCTTTTTAACTTTATATCAACAGGTCTTTTCTCTCTAAAAAAAAAAGTGACAATTTTCCCAATGGAGTCGCAATGTTCCCTCTAAGCTGCGGAACCTTGTGAGCAAAAATTCCACTTTGTGAGCTCCTGGCATTAAAGCTGTGAGTGAGCAGTTTGGCGACTGCATGAACTAGCTTGCTCAGGAGCCCTCCTTCCCGAGCTAAGGCAAAAACCTGTGAGCCAGAGGCTAAAGAACTGTGAGCTAGCTCACACTAACTCAGCTTAGAGGGAACCAGGGGTCGTTTCGTAGAAAAAGAGCTAGGGGAACTCATTAGCATAACTCGTTAGCATAAGCCACACACCCTGACATCACCGGAAGTGTGTCGTAAGGCCACACACCCTGACATCACCGGAAGTGTGTCATAAGGCCACACACCCCGCCCCCAACGGTCCAGGCCGGCGGGAGTCGATCCCCTGCGATCCCCCCCGAAATAACCTCTGGAGGGAACACTGATTGGAGTGTACAGTTCCCATACATTTCTCTAGTAAGAAGTAATCCCAGACTGTGGCATACCAAGAGGCGGTTGTGGGTGGTTTTTAGTATCTCTGTTTTCCCTTTCCAGGGGTGCATCCGATTTCTCATGACTTTTGAGATCTGATGAGATCGGGCTCGCCGGGCCTATCAAAGTCAGGGCAGAGGGTGGTGGAACCTGCCATTAAGCCGCAGACAACTTACGGCGACCCCATTGGGTTTTCAAGGCAAGAGATGAACAGAGGTGGTCTGCCATTGCCTGCTACTGTGTGGCGACCCTGGACTTCCTCGGTGGTCTCCCCTCCAAGTACTGACCAGGGCTGACCCTGCTTACCTTGTGAGAAGAGCAGGCTGCTGGAGAAGACTCTTGAGAGTCCCCCGGACTGCAAGAAGAGCAAATCAGTCAATCCTAAAGGAAATCCACCCTGACTGTTCCCTGGAAGGCCAGATAATGAAACTGAAGCTCAAATACTTTGGCCACCCAATGAGAAGGGAGCACTCCCTGGAGAAGACGACCCTGATGCCGGGGAAGATTGAAGGTCAAAGAAGACGGGGACGGCAAAGGATGAGATGGTTGGACAGTGTCATCGATGCAACGAACGTGAAGTTGAGCAAACTTCAGAGGACGGCGGAAGACTGGAAGGCCTGGCGGGAGCTGGTCCATGGGGTCTCAAAGAGTCGGACTCGATTGTGCGACTGAACAAAAAAAAAGCCTTGGATATCCAGATTAGGGGAGTATTTCATTAGGCCTCTCAATACAGATGATGGGCTTCTAATGTCCTGGCCCCACTGGTGGACCTCCTGATGGCACTGGTATTTCTGGCCACTGTGAGACACAGAGTGTTGGACTGGATGGGCCTTTGGCCTGATCCAACATTGGTGTCTCTTATGTTCTTATGACTCTCCGCGTACCACAGGGACTCTATTAGCAAAGCCTATCTAGGAAGAATGGGTTATCATCGATCTATTTGCACTCTTGGAAATGGGCACTGGGCTCATCTGGCAGAGAAAGGTCAGAGACTGGACCCCTCGCATTCCGTCGCGCTTCGATTCCACTTGTCACCGTTTCCTCTCTTTCCGCCAAGATATGTTTCTGTGTCAGCTGAGGACGCGCTTCAGGCATCTGATGAAGTGGGCGACAGTCCAGTCTCTCTCCGCCCCACAGTCGGCATGAGATGCCTACGCGCTGGCTTTGCAAAGTGGGAAGGCAGCTGTGAACTGAGTCCAGGCACGCCAAAGGCATAAATCTCTCCACTCGGAACAGCAGCCGCCCACGACTGGCAATGAGTTAATGATGTTCTGACGTTAAGTTATGAAACCTTTAAAAACAATTATAAGGCCGATGGTGAAAGCGGCTGTCAAGTTCTGAGTTATGGTGACCCCCAGGCTAGCCCGGTCTCCTCAGATCTCGAAAGCTAAGTGGGGTCAGCCCGGGTTAGTATTCGGATGGGAGACCAGTGTTCCCTCTAAGCTGAGTTAGTGTGAGCTAGCGCACCGTTTTTTTAGCCTCCAGCTCACACATTTTAGTCTTAGCCCAGGAAGAAGGGATCCGGAGCAAATTAATTTAGGCAGGAGCCAAATCACTGGCTCACAACTTTAGTGCCAGGAGCTCACAAAGTAGAATCTTTGCTCACAGGACTGCGTAGCAACCCCGGACTTCCTTGGTGGTCTCCCAGCCAAGGACTAACCAGGGCCAACACAGCTTAGCTTCTGAGATCTGATGGGATAGGGCTAGCCTGGGCCATCCAGGTCAAGGCAAGAGATGAACAGAGGTGGTTGGCCGTTGCCTGCCTCTGCGTAGCAACCCCGGACTTCCTTGGTGGTCTCCCGTCCAAGGACCAACCAGGGCCAACCCTGCTGAGCTTCTGAGATTTGATGGGATCGGGCTAGCCTCAGCCATCCAGGTCAAGGCAAGAGATGAACAGAGGTGGTTGGCCATTGCCTGCCTCTGCGTAGCAACCTTGGACTTCCTTGGTGGTCTCCTGTCCAAGGACCAACCAGGGCCAGCCCTGCTGAGCTTCTGAGATCTGATGAGATCAGGCTAGCCTGGGCCATCCAGGTCAAGGCAAGAGAAGAACAGAGGTGGTTGGACATTGCCTGCCTCTGCATAGCAACCCTGGACTTCCTTGGTGGTCTCCCGTCCAAGGACCAACCAGGGCCAGCCCTGCTGAGCTTCTGAGATCTGATGGGATCGGGCTAGCCTGGGCCATTCAGGTCAGGACAGCAATCACAATAGGTATTCATAAAATAATTTTGTACAGAGAATCCCTCGTTCCACCCAAAATCTGACATGTTGCCCGTGGCTGGGGTGGAGTGAACCTTGGCCCTATCCGCTCTCATCCAACAAGAGTAACCTGGTCCATGGCTGAAGCTTCAGGAAGGCCTTTTTCTCTCTTTTCCCCCCACCCAGGGCTCTGTGACGAACGCCCGGCGTCAGCCCCTCGCTCGGCCCAGAGAAGCTCCATGCACAACCTGGTGTCCCCCGTCCCCTCCCTCTTTCGGGCCCTCATGGCGATCTCTGACAACGACCCCCCTGTGGGCTGGAGCATCCTGACCCTGCCGGTGGAAGAGGAACTGCGGCAGAACCACGCAGACACAAGCCACCTATTGCTAGGGCCACACACAGGTGAGCTGCGGGAGAGAATCCTGGGGGATTCGGAAAGTGCTCAATGCACAGGGGGTGGGGGGACCTGGGCGCACAGGAGAAATTGACATGTGGAATCCAACTCAGAAAGTGTTTGATGTGCATGATGTAGGGTGAACCTGGTGCACAGGAGAAATTAACATGTGGAATCCAACTCACAGAGGTAGGGTGAGCTGGGTGAGCAGATGTGAAAATAGCACATGGAAATAAATTCAGAAAACCCTCGATGCACATAATACCCCGGGAACTAAATGTGCATGAGAAATTAACATGTGCAAATCAAGAGTGTGCATGACATACGTTTCTTCAGCCGTCAGGAAGACCATTCTCTTCCCAACATGAGCCAGTTCTGCCTCAGCTAAATGTGGGCAGGAGACTTCCTCAAACAGATATATTAGCAGTCAGGGGTCGTTTCATAGAAAAAGAGGTGCAGGAGCTCATTAGCATAACTTATTTGCATATGCCACACCCCCTGGCATCACCGGAAATGTGTCAGAAGGCTCCACTGGACTGTTTTGGATTGCTAGCTATTGGGGGGGTGGACATGCAGATCTGTCCTCGCAGAGGAGGGAGAGCTTGTACCCAGGGCCAGCCCACTCACTAGGCGAACTAAGCGTTTGCCTAGGACGGGCCGGCCCTTAGGGGCGCCAAACTGCACCTGCAACTCCCCACCATGTCTGAGAGTGAGCAAGAGCCAGTCTGGGGGAAGGAAGGGGACATGGGTGACAGGTCGGGGTGCTCTGGTCAGCCATGGCCTGCCTTTCCGTTTCGGGTCCTCCCTGCCGGTGTTCCGGGAGGGAGGGAGGGAAGGCGGCGTTGGCCCTGCGTCCCAGTCCCACCCCAGTCCCGCCGGGATTGGTGTCTCCCCCCACCGCCTCTTATTCCCTGGTCGCCGACATGGAGCTGCCTCCGTGAGCCGCCGCCGCCAGTCGGTCCTCCTCTCACAGAGGGCGTCGCGGACTGCGCTGGCCTCGCCTCTCCCTTGCCGCACCATTGCTAGACGGCCACTCCAAGCAAAAACAGATAGAGAAATCTCTGACCTTCCCCACCTCAGTGCCCTGCTGCACTTTGACTTCAGCTGCCTGCCTGGCGTGGCTCCAGCCTGTCCCCCTCCCTGCTTGCAGCCCTCTGCGGCTGTGGGGCTTCTCGCGCCTCTTCCTCCTCTCCCCAAGAAGCCTTTTCAACCGGCTGGAAGGTGTCTGCCGCTTTCCTTTCACTGCGCACTCCCTCCCCCCCCCCCATGCCCCTGCCGCCCTGGGGCGGAATGCGGTGACAGGG